GGCATTCCCCCGGAGGAGCTGGAGGAAGTGTCTGGAGAGAGGGAAGTTAAAATCTATTACCCAGAAAACTATCAGATAACCGTAACACTCGTTGTTCATATTCTAGATAGACTTGATTTTATTAATGGGATAATTATATTAATGGGATAATCACATAGCCTACTGTGTCTTGTCATAAGTAGAAGACAATCTGAAATGATGTTTTATGACTTTTTGATTAGATTAATATGATAATGAATGATCTTTCAGGATCATTCATTGGTATTACCCCCTACAGAGTGTATCTTACAAAAATTTAATATTATGTTAATGTCAATTGCTCTGCAAATGAGCTATGCGCTAAAACTATATGTAGTGTTTCTTTTATCTCTTTAATGCAGTAGCTATTTATGTTGAATAGAATAAGTCTATAGCCCGTCACCCAGAATAGAAGACTAAAATAAGTTGTTGTTGTTGTTTAAATATGACACTATGACGACGACAGCGATGACTATATAGTCATGTTTACCTGGTTCATAATGCAAAGCCACTACTTGCAAACCCTTCTTAGATTGTCCCTGCTGTGTTGCCGTACTGCGGCTTCGCCAGTTGTTCGCCTGTTTCGTTGCTGAATATCGCCTTGTAATACTCGGGTAAATATGTCTGTAATGGGTAGTAGTACAAGAGGGTTTTATTTCAACACAGTCCTGTCGCTGGCCCGTTCTTTGGCTGCCCACCGCCCCGCACCTGTGGAAAAGGTGAGGAAGGAGACAACTGAGTGAGCTTCGAAAGACTTGTGATTTGTATTAATTAGCTAACCTTAAAGCAACAGGGTTTATCCAGGGTGTAGCTGCGCTTCCGCACAAGCGGTGGTTTATTTTGATTACTGTCGTGGCAGTCAATATAGTATTTGACCTGTTATGAGCCACTAAAGCTAGGCATTATCGACAGCGGTTTCTCAGGAATAGAAAAAGAGACTAATGCCAGAGAAAGTGTCGTCGCTGCTTGTGAGGCGCTTGTTTCTGCATCAGACGTGCAGAGAAGTCATGTTTGATCAGCACTACAGTCAAACAGGTTTAGGTCGAGGCGAAGGTCGAGGCGGATGCAGGTCTCTCATTGTGCTTTATTCAGCATGATAGACATTTATTAACCAGTTTCAAGGATTATAAGATTTAAATTTTGAGTGAGTTTGAAAAATAGCTGTAACAAAGTGATATTTAAATTGCATGGAAACAAATAAAAATACACATTTCGAGGTTGTCACCAATACACAGAGGTTGAGTATCAAGTATTGCTATTTTATGAAGCATGTGACTAGTAAGTATCAAAACTCACTATTCAGAAATGCAGTCACCCTCAAACTGTTTTTTTTTTGTAAATAAAACACTGCAACACTACACAATTTAATTTTCTT